AGCCAGCACTGCCTGGGGCTAAAGCAAACCGCGCCCTTAACCTTGAACTACAGAGCCGACCCCAAGCCCCACTTCTTTTGAGTCCTGCAGTTTCCAGCCCTTTCCCTTCCCCATCTTGTGCTTCCAGTTCACTATCTCCAGTCCCAGCAGAATGATAACTAAGACAGGCTTCCCAGCTAGAAAGATGGCCGTGGACCCTCCCATTGTGCCCGGCCGTCCAGGCAGGCTAACTAGATGTAAATCCCCTTCAGTGTGGCTAATGCCTTTTTTATCTCTAAGCAAAGGCTCAGAAAACTCATTCTTTTAGGCAGATTTATAATATAGCTTTGACACCACTGTAGAATGTCTAACACTAATTTAAATAAATTGTATGTGGTCAGCAAGAGACAGTTCTGTCTTTGTTTAGTCTGAGAGGTTATTTTCATGATTAAAGAGACCTGATCTTGTCTTCTTAATTAAGGCGAATCTGAAGGACAGTTATATTACCCTCCAGCAATGCCCCCAGGATGGGTCATTTTGGTGCTAGTCTGGTCACTTTTGAACTGCTCGGTGGCTGGGGAAGAAATATTATAGGATTTCGGGGGGAGGGTATAGCTCAAGTGGTAGAGCATATGGTTAGCATACACAAGGTCCTGGGTTCAATCCCCAGTACCTCCTCTAAAACTAAATAAGTAAACCCAATTACCGCCCCACTAAAAAGAAAGAGAGAAAGAAAGAAAAAGAAAGAGAATTAAGGATTTCAGTATATATAGAACCATATACTGAAAAGGAGTTTTGGGGTTGGTAGCAAGTGTCACTTTGTCCAGGTGGTGCTGAAGAGCCAGGAACACACCTTTCACTGCTAAAAGAATCAACTCTCAGGTCAAGGGGCCATCTTGACTCCCTCAGGAATCTGAGCTGAACTACAGGAGAGGGTCCTACCACAGCCCTAGACCTGGCTTCCCAGGTGAGGCAATCAGTGAACAGGTGGGAGAAGGATGCTTGTGAATGTCCAAAGGTACCTCCAAGGCTTGAAAACTCCTTCAGGGCTTATGCTCTGCCTTTTATACTCTTGTATTTTTCAGATCATAAAGCAGGGGGCTTGAAACATAGTATCTGTTCAATAAATCCTGCTGGCTGGGAGACTGGGCTTGAAACAGCTTTCCTTTCGTCTACCTGATTGGACAGAACCACCTAAAACGAAACGGTGTCTAATCTTTCACATTTTTGGTCTTATGTCAGATCTCTCTTTTCAAGAGTGTTAATCTGAGAGCCTTTCCATTTTGTTTGCCTCTTAGTCCTCAAAATCATCATCCCTGAAAGTCAGCAATGAGGGTCCTAAAAGGCGAATCCTGATCCTAACGGAAGCTGAACAGGTTAGCAAGACTTCATGCCTCTCTTGATATTTTGGATTAGGTTGGTGGCTACATTTACATGCAAAAACACAGTCCTCATACAGCAGACATTCTGAAACCTGAAAAACATTTACAATAAGGAGATGGTGATTTAAAAGGCTAATCAGCTCCCATAACTCCAATCGCCTCCAGCATATTTGTACAAATGGCTTTGGTTCCAGAAGTCTGCGTGTTGATTCACTTTACTGCTGTTAGGGTGGAAGGGAACCAGTCCCACAGCCTCTATTTGAGAACTTTCTAAACTGTCATAAATTAATAAAGATGTTGACAGACACAGTATTTTTGTTTGACTCAAGGACACGTCCTAATCTTCCTGGCCAGCCTTTCTGTCTAAATAAATTTCACCTACACATCCAGTATGTTATTATGAAAAAGAAGAATGTATTGGAAATTCTAGGGAGAGGCGATTTCTGTTCAAGGATTAAGATGAGACTCAAAGGCAGGATATGTAAAAACAATAGTTTTACATGGGAAGGAATGAGTATTCATAAGACAAAATATCTGCCAACAAGGGCTCAGTTTCTGAGGTTGAATTTCCACTCAACTCTCAAAAAAAAAAAAAAAAAAGCTGAGTGACTAGTGAACAGTTGGCTCAGCGTCTAGACCTACTTCTCCTTCATTTCTCCTCTACCTGTCTATTTCAAAGTTTGCATCTACCAATTCTTCTAACTCAGAGCAAATACTAGTCGTATCAAAGACCTACCATTCTCATTCAGAGAAAATAAACTAAACTCACAGATAACTTGCAAGGACATTTTCAGACTTGCCAACTGGCTGGTCAGTCCTAAGGTCTAACACATAAGAGCCCAAGAAATAATGCTGGTGACACAGATGACAGTACTTCAGCCTTGACTCAAGGTTTTTAAGACAACAGTCTCAGAGGGGCCCCTCAGAAAGATACCCTGGAATGCATTTTTTCATGAAACCCAAAAGGAAAACCGTCATTGTCTTTATCTGCATCATTAGCAGCAGCATCAAAAGCATCTCAAAATACCTAGGAATAAACCTGACCAAGGAGGTGAAAGACTTAGACACTGGGAAAGAAAAAAAAAATCTTACCAGCACCTGCCAGCACAAGCCTTTAGATCCTGTATAAATCAAGCTAGAGGGAGGGTATAGCTCGGTGGTAGAGCACGTGCTTAGCATGCAAGAGGTCCTGGGTTCAATCCCTAGTACCTCCAATTAAATAAATAAAACTTAATTATCCCCCCACCCAAGAAAAGACAAAACAAACAAATCAAGCTAAAATTGTTTGCTGGGAATTTATAATATAAGATAGATTTGGCGTAAACCAAGCAGTGTCATTTTTCACAGAGTAAGAAGGAGAGACGAGAAAGTTCTGATAATGTTATCTTCCCAGATTTCAGGATTTCAAGATGATGTTTTTCAAGGGCATTGCTGTATTACCAGATTGGGTTATCTCTGTTGACAGGCCGAATTGTCACCACAAAAGCTGGAGAGGTGGTGAGTTACTGCTGCTCAGAAAAGGCCAAATAAACAGATCACTCCCAAGCCCCAAGATAAATATCTAGCTTCTTTCTAGAGTAAGCAGTGGACAGAAATTCCAAGGGCAGACCAAAGAAAAGATCCGAGTGTATGCTGTTAATTCTCAGGGAGACTCCATAACCCATTTATATTCAGTGCCTAGTATGAGCAGTTCTTTCCACTTATGTTTCAAAAGGAAGTAGAAAAAACAAGCTGACCAGACGATCAGGAAAGCATGCAAGTCAACATTAAAATAACGATGCCAGAAAAATAATTCAAGATGTAGGTGCCACATTTACTTTTGAAAGATGCAATGGAATTTCCAGTGGAGGATTTCATACACAAAGAGTTTTCCAGGAAAATAAAGGCTAGATTCGGGAAAATGTTCTAAGAATACTGCTAAGAGGGGGAGAGGGTATAGCTCAGTGGTAGAGCGCATGCTTAGCATGCACAAGGTCCTGGGTTCAACGCCCAGCACTTTCATTAAAAAAAGTAAAAATTCATTTTTTTAAAAAAGGAATACTGACAAGGGGACACTGTCATCTAAACAAACTTGACACTGAAAGGTAATAATAGCCTAGATTCCATGATCCAAGATAGTCATAGTAAGGAGCTAAATAAGAGCATAGAAAATGGTGGAAAGAAAAGGGAGGGTACAGGGAAAAGAATGTTCAAACATAGGGGTGAGTAAGGAAGCCTGGGGCTACCCTTCCTGTACCTGGTCCAGAATATGACTGAATGATCTCACCACGAAGACATCTCATTATTGTAGGTGCCCATGCCGGACTCAACCAAATCGGTGTTTACTCTAAGGGAGGAGGGAGGTAGAGCTTTTGCTGGTGTTTTAAACTGATCCGTCATTGCCAGATGTACCTAAATTTGAAGAGGAAGGAAACAAAGTGATGTGCGTCATAAAGAATCCAATCAAGCAATTTGCATCTTTGGTTAAGTTTGTGGTAGCCAAGGGGCTCTGAGTCATTCCTGCTCTTTTGTTTCTTTCAACATAAAAAGGCAGGTATCAGGTCCGGTATCAGGTCTCCCAAGGGTGAAACCCTGTGGAAATCTGAGACTAGAGGTCAGTCTAGCAGGGAGGTAGTGAACCAAGCACAATCTCCCTTCCACCTCGTAGTAAAGGAACCCGGAAATACACGTAGCCGTGCAACAAGCCCATAACTAGATTTCCAAATCATTGATGGGAAAGTTACTCTCCATTTTTAGAGGAAAATCGGCTAGAAACTCTTTCATGAAAAAAAAGGCTTCGGTGTGCATAGGGTCACAGGAACCCCTCCCGCCCTAGGGGCTCACCTACTCTATAGATGTCTGGGACTCTAGGGGATTTGAAATTAACCACTTAAAAAGCATTTGAATCTAAAGGTGTCTCTGTTTCATAAATTAAGGCTGGTGAATTCTAGGAGTGAAGGGGTGATGAAGAAACCAGTTGCTTTTGGGGTTGGATTACAGGTGGGAACCAATTTAGGATTCATAGAACGCTTTGCTTTGGATCTGACAGGCATTTCATGTGATAAAACTTCCTCCCCATTCCCAGCCTCTTACCTAATTGGCCGCAGCGTGCAGTTTTCAACATGGGGCATACATTTTCAGAATACATACAACAATCAAAAAGAGCCCCGAAAACCCTCAAAACTCAACATCTCCCTCCTCTAAGATGCCAGAACCGCAGTTTGAAGCTAAGCAGAGAAGCAGAGGGGAAGCTAATTAAAAAGAACGTCGATTTCAGTAGTGGGCTGTAGAGGAACAAACGACCAAACCATAAAGAGAGCAAGGCCCATCTTTTCAACAATTATTAAATGTACTGCTTTAGATTGCAGAATATATTCTTTTCTTTTTCCTTCAGTGCAAAAAGACGTGAAAGCTTCCGAGGCTTTGCGCACACATTTCGGGACTGGCAGAGGGTCCCCGCCCCCGGGGACCGGGCGGACTGGGGGGTGGCAGCCTGTCCCCCCTCCCCCGGGGGACCCAGAAGCGGCGTCTCCGCCAGTCCGCACACCTCGGTCCACGCGGGCCTGGCCCGGGGGGAGGGCACCAAGTGCCGGGGTCCGGCCCACCGGCCGCAACTGCGCACGCACAGCCCGGGCCGGAGCCGAGCAAGGACCGACTTACTGCGCAACGGCGACCCGCTCGGCGACAGAAGAGGCGCGCACGGCCCGCGGCGGGAGAAGTGGCGGCACTGCCTGGCACTTTCGAGCTCTAGGCTGAAGCGGCAACAGCGGACGGGCCGAAGGCAAGCCGCCTCCCAGCTGGATCCCGAAGGGCCTCAGCTCGGTGTCCTCGCTTCCCAAAGGCTCTCGGGTCGGTCACTTCCATCCTTTGCTCAGGCCCAGGGCTGAGACATCTGTTTTCCATAAACCGCGCGGCCGCGGCAAATCCTGGATTACACGCCGCCCGGCGCCCGCCGCGTTCCCGGACCTGGCGCGGCGACTAATCCCCGCACAAAGAGCAGGCAGACGACACGCAAGCTGGCGCCCCGTTTCCCACCGCTTTCCCCGCGCGCGAACTGCAGGCTCAGGAGGCCGCCCCCCCCCGGGGGCCCGCCAATCGCAGCCCGGGGAGGTGGCGGGGGGGGGGTGGGGTCGGAAAAGG